AACTCCTGACCCTGGGATTGCTGGTTCGAGCCCCACATCGGATGTAGAAATTACTTAAAAATAAATTTTAAAAATTAGTATTGTTACGTGATTTCTTCACTTCACCTATTTCATCTTAAGAAGACTCCCACAGCACTGAAAATTTATAATATAAAGGTAAATTAAACACAAGTCATAAGGAATAAGAATTTAAGGTATGTGGAATTGTTACACAACTGAGATGGTCAGCAAGCTTGAGTCTGCTCCATGGAAAGATGAGAGAGAGGACTGCCCCAGTTTCACAGGCAGTCTGGAATAATCCTGTGCATATACTAATGATCCATTTACTAGAAGCCGTCCAGTCTACCTCAGAATCACCTGTTGGTTGGTCCTCAGAGTTTTGTTTTTGTTGTTGTTGTTGTTTTTTTAAGATTTATTTATTTATTTGAGAATGGAAGAGAGAAAGTGTGAGAGGAGAGAGGTCAGCGGAGAAGCAGACTCCCTGCTGAGCAGGGAGCAGGATGCAGGACTCGATCCCAGGACTCCAGGATCAGGACCTGAGCTGAAGGCAGTCGCTTAACCAACTGAGCCACCCAGGCGCCCGGTCCTTAGAGTTTAAAAAAATAAATTCCATAAAGCCCTAAAAATAATTTTGATACCATATTTACCCAGTCTTTACGTTGTCTCCAATAATACTACACTCACAAGTCGCTTAAGAAACGCTTGTTCAGGGGCGCCTGGGTGGCTCAGTGGTTTAAGCCTCTGCCTTCAGCTCAGGTCATGGTCTCGGGGTCCTGGGATCGAGCCCCACATTGGGCTCTCTGCTCAGCGGGGAGCCTGCTTTCCCCTCTCTGCCTGCCTCTCTGCCTACTTGTGATCTCTGTCTGTCAAATAAATAAATAAAATCTTAAAAAAAAAAAAAAAAGAAAGAAACGCTTGTTCAGTCTTTGTAAGGCAGATGAAGAGATCGGCCTTTAGTTAGCGCCATATAAATGGTAACTTTCCACACCCATCCGGACTAGAATTCACTATCAGCCAGCCACATTCAAATTCAAATGACAACTAACTAATTAGGCACAGCAACAGACGCTACCAAGAAAATAAACTGATACCACAACTACGGAATTAGCTGCCAATCTCTGTACTTTCCAAGTGACGCTTTTTATAGTAGTTGACATAAATGTATTTAAACAGCCCGTCTGCAATATTACCTTACAACTAAACAAATAATTCATTGTTTATATATGAAGATTCTTTGTTTTCCAGGGTTAATGATCAGTGAAAAGACAGAGGACGGGGAAAAATCCAGAAGTAATCCAGAAACAGTAGTTTTAGCCAAGAGTATAGCACCTTCCCTTACTGTACCTTTCTCTGGGTCTGCCAAAAGCAAAACAGTAAGTCTATTTTCCTGGGGGCTGGGGGTACTATTATTTAAACGACTGAACAAAAGAGCAGTACCACCAAAAGCCAGGAGGCAAGCATCCATATAATATTACGTAAATTCAATCTCACTGAAAATTTATAAAAACTTACAGGCAGGAAACAGCATGCCTTCCACAGCGACATGATCGTAACTGATCAACAAGATAAGTTTGTTTTCTGGTTTTGTCTATTTCCACTGGGGAAGGGGAGGTAAAATAATGACAGAATCAGTAAGCGGACTGAAACATTCAAAACATCTGATAATTCTAACGCAGTATTTACTTACACTGAAGAAATTCACTAGATGATCAGAGAGAATGTGAGACAAACATGTCCTAAAGAAAGAATTTTAGCTTTTGTTATTAGCGTTATTTTTAAAGGCAGGAATAATGTGCCCAGTCATCCTCCTTTGATCTAGACCTACAGGGCCAGCTACGTGGTATCACCCGGATGCCTCAGTGATACCTACAATCCAACCTTTTATTACCCCTTCCCTCCTTCCTAAGATGTGTCGGTAACAGTGATTCCCACTGAAAGACCCTCGTGTCCAAGTCAGAAACCAAGGAATCCTCCTCAGTTCTTCAGTCCCTAAGTGCAACCACGCACTTACTGCTCAGTTCAATCCTTCCTCTTCCGCAACAGAGCCATTATTCAAATTCAGCTTCTGAACCTCACTTCTCAGCTAGCCACAACATTTTTAAACATTTTAATTGGCCTCACTGGTAATCCTCCTCTGGTCTTTTATGCTTCTCACCCAAACAACCTTCTTCTCAAACGTATTTGTTTTTAAACCCAGTTCTTCTTCCTTTAAAATCTCATTTGCCCGCCGGCCCCTGAAATGCAAATATATTCACACTGGGAAGCAAGCCTCTGGCTCCCACAGGACTGAAAATCACTCCACCAATCAAGATTTTGTTGAGCAAGTTCCATGATTTTTATTCTTTTAAGAAAGAAAAGAGAGAAGCTTTTTTCCTCAAATACGTATTTAAATACCAAAATTTTTTAAGGATTTTTTTAAAGATTTTATTTATTTATTTGTCAGAGAGAGTGAGCACAGGCAGACAGAGTGGCAGGCAGAGGCAGAGGGAGAAGTAGGCTCCCTGCCGAGCAAGGAGCCTGATGTGGGGATGTGGGGCTCGATCCCAGGACCCTGAGACCATGACCTGAGCTGAAGGCAGCTGCTTAACCAACTGAGCCACCCAGGCGTCCCTTTTTTAAAGATTTCATTTATTTGACAGACACAGATCACAAGTAGGCAGAGAGGCAGGCAGAGAGGGGGAGGAAGCAGGCTCCCTCCTGAGCAGAGAGCCTGATGTGGGGCTCGATCCCAGGACCTGAGCTGAAGGCAGAAGCTTTATTTAACCCACTGAGCCACCCAGGCGCCCCTTAAATACCAAATAATTTTTTACTGATTACGCATTTGCAAACCATAAAAGAGCCTCCTACTCTGAGACTTATCTTTCTCACCCTCCTTTGAAAATTCACTATCAGAAGAGCATTCTCATTCTGGGGGACTGACTGCATCCATTCCCCTAACTTCAACTACTACCTATCTGCCAGGAATTTCTATCACCAGCTCAGTCTCCTCTCTGAACTCCAGACCCCTAGAATACACCAGCAATACAGACACCTCCATTCCGATATATGCACAGCAACTCAAAAGAAAAACTTCCAAACTAAACACTCACTTCCTACCCTCCCCACCCATTCCCAAGCAAAACGAAAAGGAAAAAACGACTAGCCCCTCTTCCAGCGTTCTCTTCTTATCTGAGAATGACCCACTAACCAAATGACAACCACAACATTATCCTTGTTTCCTCCCCAATCACCAAATCCTATCAAATCTACCTAACTTGGGTGCCTGGGTGGCTCAGTGGGTTGAGCCGCTGCCTTTGGCTCAGGTCATGATCTCAGGGTCCTGGGATCGAGTCCCGCATCGGGCTCTCTGCTCATCGGGGAGCCTGCTTCCCTTCCTCTCTCTCTCTGCCTGCCTCTCTGCCTACTTGTGATCTCTGTCTGCCTCTCTGCCTACTTGTGATCTCTGTCAAATAAATAAATAAAATCTTAAAAAAAAAAAAAATCTCCCTGACTTATTTCTGAAATCTACTGTACTCCTCAAGGGGTAGTAAATTTGTGCAGACCTCCAGACCTGTGGCCTGGTTTACTGCATAATGGCCTCCCTAGTTTCATGGCCGCTTGTCTTCAGGCTACAGATCCATTCTCAACACGGCAGCCACAGACAGCTTCCTAAGAGTCAGCGTCTACCCTGCTCAGATTTATAAACCGCTTCCCATAAACTTACGACAAAGACCAAATTCCTCAACCTGTCTGCCAAGGATCTATGTCCAGCCCCACTTGGCAGTTCTATCTCCATTCCCACTTCTTCACTCCAGCTACAGAAAACCTCTTCCAAGTGTTAAAATTCAAGAACCTTCAAATTCACAAACTCTTCAAAAAGCACAGTCCTCTACTCTTCATCTAACTACAACATTCTGCTTATACTGTAGATCTCAACTGAGAAGTAACCTCCCCCAGGAAACACTCCCTAACCCTGAAATAGGGTAGATTGTACTCTTCTTTCCACACAGTCACCTCTGTTCCAGAAAAGGATTCTACTTCATCCTCTGCCCTGTGGCTTGCAAGGTCTCAGACAGGAGTAGTGCCCATCCCCCAACCCTCCCCACTGATGCTAGGCTCGGCCACATGACTTGCTTCGGTGAACAGATGTGGACAGACAGGATAGATGCCACCACCAAGAAGCTGAAAAAGCCATCCTGGTGTTCTCCAGGTCTTTCGGCCACTAGAAAAGCACGTTAGAGACAAGAACTGCTCCTTCAGCCTGGGTCCTGGAATAAGAAAAGTTATGTCTGTCCTCTTTTTCACCTTTTTTTCCACATGTGGCCACTAGAAAACCTTTAATCCCACATGGCTCACATTGTATTTTTTTTTTTAAGACTTTAATTATTTTTCAGAGGGAGAGCGTGCATGCACAAGCAGAGGGAGCAGCAGGCTCTGCTGAGTAAGGAGCGTGATGCGGGCCTCGATCCCAGGACCCATCAGGACGGCGCTAAAGGCAAACATTTAAACCAACAGGGCCACCCAGGCATCCCTCCCTTTTTTTCTTAATTTTATTTATTTATTTGGCACATGATGTTTCTATTGGACAACACTATCTACCTAATAAGGTTTACATCTAGGAATGAATGAATGCCCTCTAACAATAAAAATTTTAATTGACTAGTCATCTAAGATTAATCTCAAAAGTTCAAAACTAGAATTCCTACAACCTCAACATTGGGTATTTTTAAGTTTATGTAACTCTGTTCTGGTTATTACCGGAGAAAGAACGAAAAAAAGTCAAAATCAAGAGGAAAAAAAGTCCATTACAAGGATATTCGGTCAGCTGCCTCTAAATCCTATTTCAGATTTTAGGTTACCAAAATAAGTCACTTACTCTCAAATAACTACTCAGAGCAAATGCCAATTGAGGTTTTCATGTTCCAGCCACTGTTGCACATATAATTGCAGACAAAATGTCAAAGCAATTCTCCAAAGGTTGTGTAAGTTATAAACGACAAGATGTTCTCAAATCAATCCTATATATCTCATTATGCACCTACTTTTTTGTGATTTCAAGAGCTACCTCCTTACCACAATATGCTGCTTCTTTGTTCTCTTTAGCCTTGTAAGGACTGTTTCTTTCAATAAAGTACTTGATAGCCTGAAAGGAAGTGGCCCAGAAAAGTATGGAGGTTAAACAAGTATAACTATAACCCTCAGAGTTCCATGTGAAATGACAAAGCACCAACTCAAAATCTGCTTTTTATTTTGTCTTTGGAACAGTCTTCATCAAGTGAAAAGCAACTCTCATTTAGTGTAACTTTAAAGAAATTAAATTATAAAAATCAACATACAAACTCACTATTCCAACATCCAGTAAAAAATCCTGGCTTGCAACGACAATTTAACTCCAACTCTTAAAACATGCTCTACTCACTCTTGCCTACTGCCAGATGAACTGTTCTTACAACCCCTCCTCATCAGACCTTTTAAAAGCTCTCGTATATTGAGGCTACAAAGATTACAAAGCAGTTGTTTCTAAGCTTTAAGGAGGAGGACAGTTAAAGCTACACAACAAAAACCCCAGCCTACAGCAGGCTGCGTGCAGTTTCCGTTCCTCCTCAAAACCCATCTTGATTTAGCCACTGTGATTATCCTGTTGTCAGATAATCTCATCAAGAATGATTCTGATAAAGTTACTCTCACCAAGGAAGATCCAGTGTTCTGCCTTAGGACTAACCCAGGAAGCAACTTTTGTACCATAGATTCAAAGCTGTAATATAATAAACATAATCATCAATGTATAAAACTCAGTCATTAAATGTGTGCATCATTCCCAGCTACCACTGTAAGTTTAATGAGGAGGTACAATAATGCCTTCAAAGAACATACCAACACTCACAGCGTTGAGTTAATAAAACATCTCACTGATTTGCTCTGGCATATACATGCAATCAAAAGTAAGTGTTAGGAGAAAATTAAAGTATCAAATTCTATTAAAAACAGAATTGTAAATATAAATTAAGAAGCAGAAAGAACATACTTCAAATGCAGCTGTTAACCAACCACATACTTGTTCCCTATGAAATCACTAAGAGCCTAATAAACGTAATAACCTGCGAACCACACAGTACAACTGTTTAAAAGCATCCTTGAAGTGCGTACACTTGTAGAAATTCCCAAGGAAGCAATTTCCCCCTCATTATGCAACTCAATTTAAGAACTCCTTTGTTAAAAAGGGTTCTAAATACCAGCATAGGAGATTTTTTTAATGAATTTTTTTTAAATACCTAACACTTAAAGTTTCAGGTTTCGGGCGTCTGGGAGGCTCAGTGGGTTAAGGCCTCTGCCTTCGGCTCAGGTCATGATCCCAGGGTCCTGGGACCGAGCCCCGCATCAGTCTCTCTGCTCCGCGGGGAGCGTGCTTCCCCTTCTCTCTCTGCCTGCCTCCCTGCCTGCTTGTGACCTCTGTCAAATAAATAAAATCTTAAAAAAAAAAAAAAAGTTTCAGGTTTCCATTTTCTACTGTCATTGTTAACAGAACCTCCTCCAATACAGGACTACATTTCAATGATTTCAGTAAAGGATACAAAAAGGCCAGGGCTGCCAGTTCTAAATTAACCATCTATAACCATTTTTTACATGGCTCAATACCTATCAGACTTTGAACTTGTCTCTACTGCGTGTTTCGCATGCTACACTAGAACCAGACATGAAAAATAAACATCTGATAGTATTAGTGAGTACCCATCAAGTGTTCAAAAAATGATATTTAAATACCGTTTTAAAAGGATATGGCAGATTCCTACAGTAATTTTTTTACCCCACTGATGTTTTTAAATATCTCAAAAAATAAAAACAAGGGGCGCCTGGGTGGCTCAGTCGTTAAGCATCTGCCTTTGCTTCAGGTCCTGATCTCAGCGTCCTGGGATGGAGCCCCGCATCCGCTCCCTGCTCCGTGGGAAGCCTGATTCTCCCTCTCCCACTCCCCTTGCTTGTGTTCCCTCTCTTGCTGTGTCTGTCTCTGCCAACTAAATAAATAAAAATCTTTTTTAAAAAATTAAACAAAAATAAAAAGTAGGACACCGTTAGAATAATGCTGTGCTCAGCGGAGGTGGAGTACTTCTCCAAAGCTTTCTGAAAGTCCTAACAGGACAAGAAAAAGAACCGCATTACCACCTGAACCCGTCCCTGAAAGGCACCTCACCTCAAACCACGACACGGAACTTGCCTTTTTTTCTGGATCTACTTATAGGGATACGGTAGAAAAAGCACTGCATCCTACCCCTGACTTTCATCATTTCAGTGTCTGACCTTTAACAGGTCAACCTCAACCCTCTGGGCCCACCTGGCAAACGAGGCAGGAGAACCTGACCATCCCCGAGATCCATTTCAGCTACAAGATGCTACTCCAGCTGTCTTTCTCCAAGAGCCTTCCTAACAGCACGGGCCCACTTTCTGGGTCCTTTTGTACGTAAACATCCAACTCCACAAACCGCACTGGAACAAGAATGAGGTTATCTTGTACAAGACTGCATTAAAGAGAGGATCAAAGAGACATGAAATCAAATGACATCGCTCGCATGGGCACCTCCTCCCATACGGAGGGCAAAGAAGCAGAGAGAAACTAAAAAACCCAGTGCTTCCAAGGAAAGGGCTGATGAAACTCCGTAATACAGTGGCCTTCGGCCTTGAAGCTTTGCCTAAAAAAAGCGTGATTCGGCAATCTACTTTTTACACTGAAGCTTCAAATCGGGCATCCATAAAAGAAAAAAAAAGTAAATCAACGTCATACAACGGAAAGACCGAGCTTGTGCAAGGAACCTTCAGCCATCAGAAAAGAGGGGGTGCGTCTTCTGGAAAACACCAGTCTCCCATTTCTGAAATGCACCATGAAAACTTGAAGCATGCCTCGGTGTTTGTCCAATGCGTGCCGATCGCCTCTTCGGCCGTCAGCATTTCAGACCTGGGCGAGCCGGGGAAGGCAGGCTCCTCCGAGACAACTTTTCCTTGCCCTTCCCCTAAGTCTGGGAATCCGCTCTTGGTGACGCGCCTCACGGTCTTGTCAGCTCATCACCAGCCTCAGGTCTCCACTCCGGAGGAGGGGAGGAAAAAAAAAAAAAAAAAAAAAAAAAAAAGCAAAAAAAAACAAAAGCCCTGGGGGGGGCCGGGAAAAAACCCAAAAAAAAAAAAAAAAAAAAAAATCTTGCACAAGCCGGATCACGAGGCCGCGTGGGTACAATTTCAAAAACTTAAGTTGAAGGTTTAATTTAAAAGGAAAGAAAAACGCAGCAGAAGGAAAGCCGTCTCCCGTCCGTGCTTCGGGCCTAAAGCCACCCGGGGGCAGGGGCGCCGCTGGTCGAAAGCGAGGCCCGGGGACAAAGTGCGGAGCCGGTGGAAAGGATGGAGGGCGCGGAGCTCCGGGCCGGCCCGCGCCCCCACCCCCGCGGAACGGCGGGCTCGAGCTCCGGCTCGGGATGCAGGCCCTCCGGCGCCCGGCGCGCTGACAGCTGCCACCCGCGCGGGCTGCGCGGCCCGCCCGGCCCCGGCGAGCCCCCCGGCCCATCCCGCCCCACCCCGCGGGCGGCCCGGCGGCCGCGCTGGAAAGGATACTCCCGGGTGCGGAAGGCCTCCTGAGTGTGCGCGATGGTGAAGAGCGGCTCCTCGCCGGGAAGCGGCTTCACCAGCGGGAAGGGCTTGCGGCCCAGGAGCGGCGCCATCGCGGCGGTGGTAGCGGCGGAGGCAGCGGCCCGGAAGGCGGCGGCTCCTCGGCGAGCCCGCGGCGCAGCACTAGGCCCCGCGGCCCGGAGCGAGCGCCTGGTTCCCGGGGGTGGGGTGGGGGAGGGGAGGGGTGAGAGGGCGGCGCGAACTCGGCTCCCTCAGTGCTGGCGCGGCCGCGCGAGGGCCATGCAACGGGACGCGAGGACACGGAACTCCCACGCACACCGCTGCGCCGCCCGGCAGCCTCCGGCCCAACCTTCGCTGCGGGTCCCCGCGTTCGGCAGTCACGACTCCTGCTCAGCTGCACCGGAGGAAATTATTGAAAAATGGCGGGAGATTCCCCTCCTCCCCCCCGCCCGGCCAGCGCACACACTAACTTGCTCCCCTGTGGCGCCGGTGGCGAATGCTCCAATAGGCGGAGAGCTGATCAGGGCTCACAGTCTATTGGCTCAGGGGAGCTGCCGCTCTGGCGCTTGAGTCCCGCCCCCTTTCCCGGCCGCGTAGTTGGGTTGCAGCGCACTAGAGGGCAGTATGAAGAGGTGAAAGGTCACGTTATGTAAGCGCTGTTGTGAGGCCTAAGGGCCTCCAGCAGCGGAGTTGAAAATGGGGGACAGCGGGGGACCGAAAGGCCTGGAATTCAAAGAGGTCAGGCTAGAGAAGCCCCTTAACATATACAGACACTGCGCCATCTGTCACCGACGGCGACACCGACATCCGGGCACCACTGTCCGTGTGGTGCGCCGGAGGGGGAGGGGGAGCGCGCGGCCAGGGGCTTTGTCTTTCCACTTGTGCTCCGCCCCCTCCTTAAAGGCGCCGCGCTCGGCCACGCCCGGGGATGCGCGGGTGGGGCGGAAGGGAGGAGGCGTTGGCGGGAAGAAACCCAGGACCTTACCCCCGCGAAGGTTCTGCTGAAGGACCGCTGGAGCCTCAGTATTGCTCACCCCGAAGTTAACTTCTGGAAGAGAGTGAGGTTGAGACCTGGGTATGATGCTTGTTTTTAGGAGCTTGGCGGAAAAAGATGATAGACAAGCTTCTTTGGAAAAATATATTCAAGGGCGTACCTATTAAAGATATACCCATTAATTCGGGTAGCCTTTGCTGGCACCTCCAGCGTTCAGGGCCCTGTACTGGGAGCTGCAGAGGGGAGAAAATGAGAGCCTGCCCTGAGCAAATAAGAGGCCCAAGTAGGACAGGACTGTGATCCGGGCTCTGCGAAGTGCACAGTAGGAAGTCAGCACTGAAGGCCGGGAGAGTGAGGACATTCCAGCCGTTTCTCCAAGCAGACTGCACCACGTCGTCCCCGACGTGTTCCAGCATAACCTGAAACACATCCATAATTCTCTCTCTAGTAAATCCTCCCCTTTGGTGCAAAGATCACTGACCTCAGAATGTACCTACTTTCCAGCCTGTCCTTGAGCAGAGCTAGACTTTGAGGTGTCCCTGAAAGCCGTGGCACATGCCAGTGCCAGGCCCTTCTCTCCTTTTCTTCTCATTTTGAGGTGAGACGTATCCCCCCTCCCCCAACCCCAGTAAAGTGTTAAGTTCCAGGTCAGACACCATCGCTATGGAGGTGCCTCTGAACCCTTAGCAGAGATGGGAGAATGTCCTTCTTCAGTAGCCTTTTCTTCTAGGAGGATTAGGAGCAACCTCAGAAGACAGAGCATTTGAGTTGACTGTGAAAAGATAAGTAGCACTTTCCCTAGGCAGAGAAATGAGAGATGTACGTTCTTGGCAGGAGGAGCAGCAGGGCCGAGTTGGTAAATTCAGGACAACAGACCTAAAACTTCAGAGGTGTTGAGGTGGAAAGTATCAAGAGATCAGAGTGGCAAAGGAAGAGATCACCGTGGTCACAGCGTGTGATGCTTGGAGTGACCACTTAGAAGGAATCCAAATGTAATAAGATCATGGGAGACAGATTCAAGAGGCACATACTAGGTGACAAACGGGATGGACACTTGTAGGACCAGGTACCTAATAGGAGATGACACACAGAGTAAGGACTCCAAAAACATTAAGAAACACATTTTGGAAAATTTTGATATTTCAAAAAAAGCTCCTAATTGCACATGAGAATAGGGACTGTAATCATTTCAGGGCTTGGGGCCACCGTAGGCTAGAACCCAACCCTGGTGTTGGTGAGACAGAGATCTAAAATGGGAGAATCGGGGGGTACCTAGCTGGCTCAGTTAGTAGAGCATGCAACTCTTGATCGCAGGGGTCATGAGTTCAAGTCCCACCTTGGGCGTAAAACTTACTTAAAAAAAATAAATTTAAAAAGAAAGAAAAAAGTAGAACAGACTAAATTAATGTAACTATCAGTTTCCTGCTCTGATATTTTTGTTGACTCCTGTGGCAGACAAAACTCTACTGAGGGGCGCCTGGGTGGCTCAGTGGGTTAAGGCCTCTACCTTCGGCTCAGGTCATGGTCTCATGGTCTCATGGTCTCAGGGTCCTGGGATCGAGCCCCACATCGGGCTCTCTGCTCAGCAGGGAGCCTGCTTCCCCTCTCTCTCTCTCTGCCTGCTTGTAATCTGTCTGTCAAATAAATAAAAATCTTTAAACAACAACAACAACAAAAACTCTACTCAGTTTGCTCTTCCTGTTCAGTCTTCAAGCTCTTGACCAAGCAAGGCCCCAAGTTGACTACTTCCTTCTAATTCCCGGAATTCATCAGCTTTATTACTACCAACTGCCGGAAATGTACTTTTTTCTCCTCTGGGCATCTAAATCCCACACTTCCTAACGCCTTTTCCCGATTGTTCCAGCCCACATCCGCTTTCACTAAACGCTCAAGGCTTCTTAAAATTGTAATTGTAGCGAAATTCGTGGTTTTCTTTCCCAACATTTGAATAAACAAGTTAATAAAAAGGGGCAGAGATTAAAATGTGTCGTTTCTGGGTATCTGCACCAAAGCTTCTACTGCTCCAAGTCAGCTGTGGGTGCTTGGCTGGAAGAGTAAGACTGTCTAGAGAAGCACCGCTCATTTCTCTACGTGGATCTCCGCTGGGTAGTTTTAGGACATGAGCTCAGTCAGCGAGATCTGTTTCTGTGGTCTGTGTCACGGGGACTTGTGCCCTGCCACATAACCCTCCGCCATTGATTCAGACACAAACCCTTGCTCAGACAGTTCCAGCTGGTCTTTTCCTCCCTGTCCCGTTGGATCCTCAAACTCAAAACATCCCAAACCCACAATCTCACCATCTTCTTTCCCTTCATCATCTGCTTTATCTGGATGGTTTCCATTTCTGTTTAGTGCCCCACTCACAACCTCACAGGCTCAGGCTTGACTTCTCCAGCTCCACAGCCACAGGGTCAACCAGATAACGTCTATTCTACCCGCACGAAATCTTGAACTATCCCTTTCTTGCCATCCCCACAACATCCTACTTCAGGCCTTTATTATTTCTGGCCCAACCTTACTACTATAATGACTTTCTTCTTTTAAAATGTCTTAATTTATTTTTTTTAAAGATTTTATTTATTTATTTGAATAAGTGAGATCGCAGGTAGGCAGAGAGAGAGAGAGAGGAGGAAGCAGGCTCCCTGTGGAGCAGAGAGCCCGATGCGGGGCTCAATTCCAGGACCCTGGGATCATGGCCTGAGCCGAAGGCAGAGGCTTTAACCCATTGAGCCACCCAGGTGCCCCTAAAATGTCTTAATTTATTTTTAAGTAGGCTCTATGCACAACTGAGCCAGCCAGGTGCCCCTCTTCTTTTAAAATGTTTTAAACTACATTGAAATTATATCTTTAAAATGGTAAAATGAGCATAGTTCCCAAAAGGAAACATGTAAGTGTACTTTAAACAACAAATGCTTCTACAAAAAGCAGCCATGGGGAACTCTCCCCCATGCACTTCCTGCTCCCTCGAGCATCCATTTTCAAATTGTTAAGCTGTGTTAAAATTGGTAAAAGGTGGGCACCTGGGTGGCTCAGTGTGTTAAAGCCTCTGCCTTCGGCTCAGGACATGATCCCAGAGTTCTGGGATTGAGCCCCACATGGGGCTCTCTGCTCAGTGGGGAGCCTGCTTCCCCCTCTCTCTCTGCCTGCCCCTCTGCCTACTCGTGATCTCTGTCTGTCAAATAAATAAATAAAATCTTTTTTTAAAAAATGGTAAAAGGTGGGCGCCTGGGTGGCTCTGTTGGTTAAGCGACTGCTTTCAGCTCAGGTCATGATCTTGGAGTCCCGGGATCGAGTCCCGCATCGGGCTCCCAGCTCCATGGGGAGTCTGCTTCTCTCTCTGACCTTCTCCTCACTCATACTCTCTCTCAAATAAATAAATAAAGTTTAAAAAAAAAAAAATGGTAAAAGGTAACTTCATTTAAAATGGAACCAGAAGGCCAGAAGTGGGAGCTCTCACAATTTAAGACTGGTAAATTG